AGACCTCCCTCTTTGGTGTGCCAGTCCCATGGGGTAGGGGAAGGAAGAGGGAGGACTGAGGTTCAGGGCTTCCCATAGGCCAGATTTGCTTTTCTGGGGTTCTGGAGTTAGTGGATTTTATGGATCCTGTTTGGTTCTGGGGTGGGAACAAAAATGAGAGGTTCAATGTGCGGGACAGGGCTGCCAGAGACTGGGACTGGGGGGGGGGGAGGAGAGGTTCAGTGAGACAGGGCTGCCAGTGAGTGGGATAGGGTTGGTGGTGCAGAATCTGGCCGGGAGGTGGGGTGCAAGAAGCGTGAGGGTGCGAGGTCTAGGTGGGAGGTAAGTTGCAGAAGCAGGCTGGAGGTAGGGTGTCTGGCCTGGGAGGGGGAGTAAGAGAGGGTGCACAGTGTGGCCAGGAGGGAGGAGGCCACTGATACAGCTGCTGTTCCTGATCTTCACACAGGAAAGGGGGCACCCAATGTACTGAAACCCCCACCACTAAAACTCCCATTCACCTGTCCCCCCTCACACGTCATATAGAGATCCCCACAGCTACCTCCCTCACTTATTCAGAAACTCCCACAGATAAACCCCGTCACTCATCAAGATCCCAGTTCCCTCCTGTCTGTCTCCCAGCCATGTGCAGGGCCAGAGTGGGCAGGGTCTGTGCAAACACTGGCAGGGCCCAGGTCTCTGCACTCTTAAGCCAACTTGGCAGAAAGCCCCACATTCCTGGAGCTCCTGCCCTTGCGTTGGATGAGGCGGGGTTAAGTGAGTTGTCCCATCTGGGCGCAAGAGGCATTAGAGTCTGCCGGGGTGTCTGGGAAGGGTGGCAATTCCAGCATCTCCCAGCAAAACTGGGACAAGCCCCTGGCCAAGCAGCAGCAGGGAGGTTCTGTGCTAGGAAGCGCTGCTACCCTGAAATCCCCATGCGTCCCACTCTCACTTTTCCAGCAGAAGGGGACAGAGAAGCGGTGAGAAATCTCCAGCCTGCCCCCACTGCCTGGCAGCCACACTTCTCTGCACTCCTCTCTTCTCCTCAACTCAGGGCTTTCTTCACCACCTCCAACCGCCACCCTTCAAGTAGAAAGCCAGAGCTGGTGTGGCAGCGAGGGCTCCATGCACAGCGTGTGTGTGGGGAGGAGGAAGCTGAGCTCGAGTTTCAGACCACATAGGAGGCGGCCACAGACCACTAGTGGTCCGCAGACTGCACTTTGAGAACCAGTGAAGTACAGTAAAGTGACACTGAGGTCCCAATGAGATTTAGGTTAGCTGCATTTTTTTATCTGAAAACCTGAGGTTTTTTTAAAGGTTGTTTTTTCAAAACTTGCACGCAAGATACAGTAATATCTCATGCACCCAAGCAGAAGTGGGATAATTAAATGGCAAATACTGTGGGTGGGGGATTATTGTAAGGATTTTATCTAGAATCAGTTATTTGCAGGGTTAAAAAAATAGCCCAAAAGAAAGAAAATAAGACTCAGAAGATTTCACATTTGTTTTTGAAATACATTTAGATGCACAAAGATAGGGTCCTTTTTTGTGGCTTTCAGAAACAGTGTTGAAAATGATAAATGAAAATGCGGCAGGGCACCCATGCATTAACCTCTCTTCTTCTACATAAGGACAACCACAATCAGGAAGAATCCCCCCTTTTTCATCGTACTTGATAGTGTACCTGCAGCCCTTTTGAGGCCTGGTGGAAAACTTTGAAAGTTTGTTTAGAAACCATTTTGCCTAGATAGCTTCACTCTGCTTTCTATTCTTCACTTCCTCTCCCCGTCCCCAATTTTATTAAAGATAGCAGCATGAAAATTGAATCTTTATTTCTTATGAGTCCATCTGTTACTATTATTTAATTCCATATCTGGAGTTTGAACACTATCAAAACTGATTATAAAATCATAATTGAAAGATTGTAATTTTAGGTAGGGAATAAGTAGCAGGAGCAAATGAACTTTTTAGAGATAAGGATCCTGATTTTCTTCTAGCAATTTGTATATTATCTAAATATGGAAATGTTTAACATACAGTGACCAGACAACCAGCAAAGACTAATAAATATGCCAGTTACAAAAGATGTCTATTACTCTTGGTCATATTTACACAAACTATTTTCTGTGTTTATTAGATTTGTCTATTAGTTAATAGGGTTGACCATGACCAGTGTTCCCTCTCTTTTTTTCCATCTATGGACAGAATCAATTTTGTTATGTGCACTAAGACATATGGGGATATGCCCCAACCATAGAAACACATGTTGCCAGCTGTGGACACTCTGCTAATCAGCTGGATGGCATTTGACTCTCTCTTGGGTTGGCACTCAAGCATTATGCCTGGAGGGCGAATGGCTTGGTGTATCTCTCTTCCCCACTACACAGTACATTCCATCATAGCTCTCTTTTTAATAGTATTCCTTTCCTTTGGATCCTACAAAAATCATTCTGTAGATTCTACAAAGTGTCCCAAGAAAAATTAATAGTGCCTGGGGCTCTCATATAGTTACTCCATATAGGGAATGTAAAGAGGTGGCTGTCACTCAAATCAGGGCTTGGAGCAGGTTTGATATTTTATATTCAAATCAAATTATTTAATGTCTACGCTAATTACTCCACTTTGCAGCTCCTCCCTTTTGAGGGTCTCTGGGTATAGTAGTGTGAAGAACTACCTTTAATGCTGATAACATGGCCCAATAATATTTGTTTTGTGTCATCCTTGGCTCATGTCATTTTCTGCAAAATTGCTGCCAAAACCAGCAGTTTTTATTTAAAAAAAAAAAAAAAAAAAAAAGCATTCTGTTGCAAGCCACATGCCCTGATAATATCAAGACCAAAAAAGACAAACTACTTTTGAAGAAGTTAACATGGTACTGTACCACACAGGCAACAAATACCTCAAACTTTAGTGGTAGATAGGGAATTATTACCCTTATATTTTGCAGAGAGTTTAAGTAATATATATACCCCAAATATGAGAGAGTCAACAGCTGTGTCAATCTTTAGTCCTGCCATGAGTGCAGAGAGGCCTACAATTCTATCATTACCTTATGGAAAGTGCCCTCAAATTATGTAAAAATTTACTACAAACACCCTTACCAGAAACATGCTGCCCATTCACCAATAATATAAGAATAAATTTAAACAATTTATAACATATGTCCCATCATTTCTTGCAAACCAGGCTATTGGGAAATCTTTATATTTTAATTATGGGCCATAAAAAAGGGAACTTATCTCTATGGAAGTTTCCATCTTATAGAGGAAAGGTGACTGTACAGATGATGAATAGTGATAGAAATGTAGCCGTGTTAGTCTGGGGTAGCTGAAGCAAAATGCAGGACAATGTAGCACTTTAAAGACTAACAAGATGGTTTATTAGATGATGAGCTTTCGTGGGCCAGACCCACGAAAGCTCATCATCTAATAAACCATCTTGTTAGTCTTTAAAGTGCTACATTGTCCTGCATTGTACAGATGATCAAATTAAAAACCTACTTAAAATAAAAATGTAATTTTATATGAGGTCTGTATTTTCATGTATACTATTTCTCTAGCTCTTAAAGACAAACATGTGCCAGCAAACATGCTAGATGGAAGGAAAATAGTTATTGGTGAAAATTGGGTAATGAATTTTGGCATTTTTTCCTTTGCCTCGTTTAGAGTTTATATTTACCCTAAACTGACTTTGTCAAACTTTTGCAAACTTTCTTTATTGTCTACATTATTTATGCTTTTATAATTAAAAACAGAATCTGATTCACTTTTCTGTATTGCATCAGACTTGCGGTTTGGGACCCTGCTAAGCAAATACATTAACTGTTACATAACGCAAAAACTACCGTGCATTTTTGGTAGTGGGGGAGGGGAGGCAAGGAATACATTTTGTTGGAACCTCTATTGCTCTGTTTTTAAAGTTTCCATGCAGCATGCAGGTTTTTAAGTTTGGTGTCTGTTCCTTTTCATTTCTGTTTAACTAGCTGGCTCATTTTTGTAGTTTTCCCTTTGACCTTAAATGCCATTGTTTCTTTTCCCCCATGTTACATTTCACAGTCTCCCTAAAACAGAAGCCTGCTTTGTAGTGCTTGGTTTCCTGTTTTCCAAATCACAAAGCAGGAGAGAGAAAAATACCTTGTTAGGCAGCCTTTAAAAGTCACAGTTTTCCAAATCACAAAGCAGGAGAGAGAAAAAAAATACATTGTTAGGCAGCCTTTAAAAGTCTCTCAGTCCTGAAATGTAGCTTAGAAAATGTGATAGCGCCTTCAATTTTCAGGCCTCTCAGTGGGGTTAGATCACAAAGCAAGGGTCTGGAATCTAGTTTAGTGGGTTAGTAAACCAGCTGCTGTGTTCCCCACAAATCCGTTTTAACAACAATGTCGGAATCCCCCTGCTTTGCCCTGCAGGATCCCCATTCAGGAGCCACCTAGACAGGTAGTCTTACTCCGCGTCCCACGCCTGACCCTGCTCCTCCCTGAGCTTTATTGCAGGGCTTAGGGCTGTACGTGCAGCATGTGCAGGACGGGCCCTTGTACCGTTGTTCCGGGGCCTGCAATCCCGGGGCTGGGGGCGGTGCGAGCAGGGCAGCAGTCGCTCTGGTCTGGTAGGAACTGGTTTGTGCAGAACAAGCCCCCTGCCCAGCGCGCACTTGGGATGGGAGCGCGAGGCAGCTTCTTGTCACCGCTTTAGTGCGGCGAGTTCGTGCTGCGGAGAGAGGCCCAGTCTGCAGCGGCGCGCGAGGCTGTGCTGGATGCCTCCCTCCCTCCCGCCTGGAGCCAAGTGGGCTGCTTGGGGGGAAGGGGAAGGCGGAGGCGGAGGCGGGGAGACACGTGTCCTTTCTGGAAGATTTCGGGAAGCGACGGAACAGCCGTGCTGCTCCCTGCGCGTTTCGGGAGCCACCGCTTGTGTGGCAGGTTTATGAGCCGTGCTCCCTAGTCACCGGGCGCATTGCGTGCGGCCAGGTCACTTCCCTCACTCCCCGCCCGGAGATGTTTGCAGCGGAGTGTTGTTGTGTCCACCATCCAGGCGAATGTTGCAACATTTGCCCGCCTCCCGCTGACCAAAGAGCTGCATGGAAATTTCTCCACGAATGGAGCAGTGTGGAAAGCGATGAGACCTTGTCTTCGGGGTACAATTCGGCAAATGGAGACAGCTGCGAGTCCTTACCTGAGGTGGTGGCCTGGGAGCCCAGCAGCTTAAAACCCCAGAACAACCTGCTCGAGGTTATGCACAGTTTTTCTGTTCACAAGCATTTCTCCTGGTGTATTGACTACAGACAGCCTTACTACCTGTTGCTAGGTATGCAGTCCTCGGTTCCTCGCTCCTTCCGCTGGTCTACTTGGTAGAAGGCAGGGTGGGGAGGGTTAGGGGCTGAGCCAATTTGAAATCTTTCTTGAGTGTGGGTGTATTGTAGAAGTTTTTCTCTAATAGCCAATAATTGCACCTTTGCCCCTATACTTGTTTTGGTTGATTTCCATTAAGCATGCAAAGAGAATATTTTGAAAACTAATACTCATGTTCTAGCCTGCTGGTGTGTTTTTTCACATCCCAGACTCTCACTTGCATCAGATCCTTAAGGTCACTATTCATATTGTGTTTTACTATGTTTTGGTTTTAGCATTTGCTCATAAGTATAGACTAGCAAAGATAACATGGTACTGCCAATACCTTTACAATCGATACAATTATCTAATCATTTAACTCTATTTACTTATTAAAATCTGGTGTATGTCTTAAGCAACTGAAGGGTTTGCATGCTTATATCTAATTCTGAGCAGTAACTTTATTTTTCCAGTGACATAATTGAACCATGTATGTAAGACAAAATCATTTGTTTTGAAAATCAGATTTCAGCCGATCAAAGGAATCAACTGAAGTAGAATTTCACTGATTTCAGTAGGGCTCGGTGCAAATTTATCATCCAGTGCCTTATGAGAACTAGGAGCCAGGAATTCAATTATATTTAAGCAATCCTTTAAGTCCATGAAAGCTATGGACATGTAACAGACTGACATACCTGTTAACTCCCTAATTTGGGCATGTTATCTAAACTCTCTGCTAAAAAATAATGATAATACTGTTTACCTGTCTACCTAACATTGAAGTTGAGAATTCTAATGAATTAGACTCTTATCCTGCAAAGTTTTACACACGAGTTAATGAAACTGAGGTGTGTAAAGTGCCTACAAGGCACTAGATTGTACAATATTTAGTATTATTGCTTAGGAATCCATTTTAATCTGATTATTCATAACCCTGCAAATGCAGAATTATTGAATATAACCATGTGCTAACTCTTTCTATCTGGATATCACCCAGAACAAAAATGTGCTATACCTCATAAGTAAATTGTTCTTCATTAAGAAAAGAATCTAGGAAGGCTTTTTTACAGGGATGCAGTAGAATATAAATTAACTTTAAAAAGTTTTAAAATGCTAATCAGAATCTAGTATAATTAATTTAGTTTTGGTGGCCATATGGTAAAATTTCAGGGCTTGGCAGCTATCTTTATTTTTATTTATTTATTTATTTATTTTATTTTTGTGGTGCCACTCTTGTAGGTGATCAAACCACGATTACATCCACATGTACTGTAAACATCTTTACTCAAAAAGTGTTAACAGGTGAATGATTTGAGACTTGGTTAATTTAAGTAACTTTGTTTTTGTTTGTTCCTCAGATGACAATCACAACAAAACCAATGAAAAGAAAGAAAAGAAAATGGTCACTCAGAAACCCCTTGGAACTATAGAATATACTGTAAGTATTGGATGCACAGTTAGGTCATTATTAATATTCTTTAAAGAGAAGTTGTCAAAATTGATAATCTGAAGAAACCAAATTAATCTAGACACACTTTAATTCTTTTCTAAAATATCCTCCAAATAACCTGTGTGTAGGAAGGAAAATTGGTCTCAGCCCCACAATCATCCTGCAACTTGGGCATCCTCCGTCTTTTCCCCACTCTGCCTTGTGTGTTTCTGTATCCATGGTTTGACCATGTAATGGCTCCCCTCTCCCTCTGAGAAATATTTCTGTCCCATTGAGTGTTGCTTAGCCCTCTAGAAGGAATGTGTTTGTATCCTAGTCATGAGATGCCAATGTTTCCTTTTTGGAATGCCAGTGATACACACAGAATAGTGATAGAGATGTAGCCATGTTAGTCTGGGGTAGCTGAAGCAAAATGCAGGACAATGTAGCACTTTAAAGACTAACAAGATGGTTTATTAGATGATGAGCTTTCGTGGGCCAGACCCACTTCCTCAGATCAAATAGTGGAAGAAAGTAGTCACAACCATATATACCAAAGGATACAATAAAAAAAATGACTGGCCCACGAAAGCTCATCATCTAATAAACCATCTTGTTAGTCTTTAAAGTGCTACATTGTCCTGCATTTTGCTTCAGTGATACACACAGTCTCTGTGTACCTGAAGTGGTTTGCTGTGTACTGGGAGAAAGTTTACTGAAAGATGCCAAAGATATATCTGTGGTGTCCTCAGCAAAGGAAGGGACTCTAAACCTGACTCTTATGTGCTAGGGATGTTAAAAAATGGTGGTTATTGTTAACCACGTAGCCGCTAAAATTTTTAGCAATTACATGGTTACATGCTGGCTCCCCTAAGAGTGGAGCCGGCAGCCAGTGGGGAGCCATTCCTGGGGAGCCAGCTGGGACCCTGCACTGCTGCCTCTGAGACAGAGTC